CCAGTCAGACTGTGGACATAGCCTCAGGTGGTGGCACTGGTGTTGGGTGGTTCCCTGGGGAGGAAGGAGGACGGTAGATGTACATGGCAGCTGGGGACAGCCTCCCACCCAGGGGACACAAGATGGGAAGCTGCTCACCTGGGGCAGCATGGAGGCCTGCCCCTGTCTGCTGGGAGTCCAGGGACCTGTCCACCTCCAGTCCCTGCCCCAGTGGGTGGAACGAGAAGGCACTGGGCCCACACTGGCCTGTGGACATCAGGAGCCCTGCCCATGCCTGTGTGCACGCCCACCCGGAGCAGGAGACGGGTGGCTGACCCAAGCACCCCTTAGGAACGAGCACCGTGAACTTGCCTCCTCAGGGCGACACATGGGCCCTCAGGCGTGGGCTTCCAAGGCCGCACCAGGCAGAGTCCTGGCTACAGCCCTCCTGGCACGTCCTCTTTCAGAGAGGTCTCAGGGAGCTGCTGGCCTCCATGAAGTATGGCAGGAGGCAAAGGTGGAATTTCCCCATAGGTGAAGTTTCTAGAAGGTAAGCAAGGGCCAGGTGACACTCCTGGTGTGAAAGGCCACTTAGAACCTCAGAACCCAGCCTAGCCCTTCCAGGGATTAAACCAGGCCCCTGTGGTTCCCTAGGGCCACTCCCATCAGTAAAACTCCTTGTCCAGGGCACGGCAGTGGGGGACATTCAGAGGGCTTTGCCAAGGCAGCCGTGGTCCCTGTGCGTATCGGGCAGGGCAGGGTGTGGAGAGGTGGTTTGGAGTCCAGCAGTCCCTCTCTGGCACCCACCAGCTGTGTGACCTGGGGCAAGCCCCTGCGCATCTCTGAGCCTTCATTCCCATGACCATCACTTGGAGGCAGCCGCTCCTCCATTGTTCAGTAAGGGTAAGCACGAACTGCCCCTCGTTGCGCCCTGCTCTTTACACAATCTAATGATCCATGCGATCCTCTCCGTGACCCCAAGAGGTTCATCTTGCTCTTAGGCCAGGTGAGGAGACTGAGCCAACATTTGGACCTCGGCTGGGCTGGGCACTGCCCGTGCCTCCCAGAGCCGTGGGAATGCATGGCCCTGGCTCTCGGTGAGGCAGGCCCTCTGCGAGGTGGTGTTCAGCGTGGCCTGTGGCTCTGGGTCTGGAATTCCACAGATTTTTGGCCCCTGAGCTGGGCTTGGCAGCCTCTGGCTCATTGTTCTGCAACTTGGCAGGAGCCGCGGGATCCCAGGGGCAGGCGGCTCCCTGTGTTACTCCGAGTGCCTGCACGCGTGCGCCGTGGGGTTTTTCCTCGGCCCCCATGCCCTGTCCTTCCAGGTGCCCTTTGTCGTGGTCTTCCTGCATCTGAACCCCTGAGAGGCAGTTTCTGGTTGCAATTTCTTGTGTAGGGGGCTCAGATTTCCATCGAGATAGAGCAGCCAGAAAGCAAGTCCCCCAAATCCAGTGTCCCCAGTGAATCCCAAGAGTCAAGGGGAGTCTTCAGAATGAGGAGGGGCTGCGGGGTCAGGGAGGTGTGAGTCTAAAGTCCCCTCTGCAGATTGTCATCCAAATGGCATCCGACTTCCTCTTCTGATCCTGTTTCCACATCCGCAAAATGGGTCTAGCAGTAGCCCCAGTATGAACGCAGCAAACCCAGCCCACTGAAAGGACTCCGAGAACCTTCATTCCCCCCTCCCTCCCCCTCTTCTGCCTTTCCCTGCTGTGCCTCCTTCCCCTCTGGGACTCGCTTTCTGGGGCTCAGTGGAGAGGGAGCTGCTTTGCTAAACGAGGGCCTCTCCTCTTCCCTGGGAGCTCTAACTTCCCTGAGCAGAACTGCTCTTGGTAACGGTCATTTTTTAAAGCTTTGGGATTTGGTAGAAAAGGTGGTGTGGACAGTAGCTGGGTATGGTCCTGAGGCAAGGTCTCCCTAGGGACCAGTGGTCTCTACTGGGACACCTACACATCCTTGTGGCCCCAGCCAAGTGGAGAGAGGCTCATCAGAGCCCACGAGGAATGCAGGGTGGTGGCTTCAGATGAAGGTGCCTTCAGAGGTCCCAGCTGGCACTATACCTGTGATTGTGTGACCTGGGCAAACCCGTTAACCTCCCCGTGCCTCAGTTCTCAGCTGTGCAATGGGACAACAGGTCCTATCTTGTGGTTATGTGAAGGAGGGGGGGTGAAGTGCAGGAAGCAGGACCCGACCAGTCAGAGCACAGCAGGTGTTAGTGCTCCTTGTCCTTACTGAGGTGGCTGGGCCCCCGCGGGGACTCTGGAGCCAGGTGAGGCTGAGCAGACTACAGGTGCAGGATGGGAATCTGGGAATGGGCTGGAAGCCTGGGGCAGGGGCCGGGAGCCAGGGTGTGGGTGGGCCTGGAGGGGGCAGCCTGGGAGTCCATTCCGGAGCCTTCTGAGATAAAGATGGAACCTCCTCCTGAAGATGGTTCTCCAGCCTTTTCCCTGAGGCCTCCCTGAGGGCAGAGGATGGTGAACAAGTCACCCCGAGGGGTCTTGGGGTGCAGCCCGCAGCAGCTGTTGAGCCTGCAGGAGTCTCCGGTTTCATCTTCAAATTCATGCGCATTTTCCATCCCACTCCTCCCGGCTTGCGGGCGGCTTTCCCCCTGAGTAGCAGCCGAGGAAGATGCTCGTGTTTATCTAGTTATCCTGGGGCTCTTTGTACCCTGGCTCCTGCACCATGTCCCCCTGGGGGGATGCTCCAGCGCGGGGCTCAGCCAGATGGCGGGAGATGCCCAGGGCCTCTGGTCCCATCTGTGTTCAGGACTTGGTGGGGAGAACGGCAGGCCCCAAGCCTCAGCGGTGGAGGGGAGACGAGGCCTGTGTGGAAGCAGAGGGCTGGGGAGGGGCCTCAGAAGTGCGGGCAACCCCCCCACTGCGGTGCCCACCACGTGACCACAGGCCGAGGCTCCCGTGGGCCCAGAGGAGGAGAGGTCTGCCTGTACCTTTGTGCGTTAGGACGAGCCATGTCGCATGGCTGGTCCGGGGCTGCTGAGTGTCATGGGCCGGAGACGGTCCTCCCAGGCAGAGACCTCAGCCAGGAGCGCATGGCCCTGAGTCCGTGCCTCCTCGGTGGCGACTGCTCCCTGGGGCTCACCTGTGTCTGCGGCTGGAGAGCGGCTCCACCCAGCAGTGGGGGGGGACAGCGTGCGAGCTGTGGAGGGCACAGCCGGGAGCCCCAAAGTCAAGCTCATTAGGAAACTGAGGGGCTGGTGGGCATCCTCTGACATGCCGAGCAAGGGATGTCATGTTGATGGAGGGGAGACTGGGCCACAGCATGGGACACAGCGACCAGGTCTCCAGGACACTGAGACACGCCCCCCCCCACATGCTGACGTCTTTCCCACTGCCCAAAACATGTCCCAAGACACACAGCAGGGCTGCTGACCCACTGGGCCGGGGACAGGCTGCTGAGGCTGCTGGGGTACCTGGCCAGGCGAAAGATGGTAGTTCTTGTGCGACCCCGAGTTGGTTCTCAAGGGATCGAGCTGTTACAGAACCCCAGCCTGGTCACTGGATTGCGCTCCGGCTGCCTGTCTGATGGTGTGATTGCCCTCCCACTGCAATGGTGCCCACCATGAGGGCCTCACTAGAGTGAGTTTACACTGGCACATGCCCTGGAACCTCCAGGACTGGGAGCCAAATGAACCTCTTTGCTTTGTAAAGTCACCAGCCTCAGTGACTTCATTATCAGTAATAGAAAATCCACTAATACAAATGATCTCTTAGGTCTTGTTCTTCAAAAGGCCCCCGGGGGTGATGCTGTGTGCTCTGTGCTCCTCAGGGAGGCAGGACCAGGACTGGGAGCAAGGCTGCCATCTCAGACAGAATCCACTGGCCTGAGACAGGGACTGGCTTGCCTGTTGCACTGTCACGTGTTCTGTAAGGGCCACCCAGGGCCATCTATTCCTAGGGACTTCTGGCTCTCCAGGAAGCCGGAAAAGCTGCTTCAACAACTTGGGCCAGTCCTCTGGGGGCTCTGATGAATGTGGCTAGCAAGAGATTGGGACATCCAGTCTCTTGGACACAGTGGCCAGGTTCACCTGCCTGAGTGGTACTGGTGCCTTCTGCACATGCCCTGCAGTCGCTCAGGCCCGGCCCTGGCCCACGGGGTGCTACAGAAACGTGGAGGGTGATGAAGGTCTAGGGTGGATGAAGACATTTGCTCCCCAGGAGGATCGCAGGACTGGGTGCTGCCTTCCCTCAGCCATGTGGCTTCCATGTGTACAGGGTTTGGTCCCTGCCCCAGAGGGCTTGTATGGTGGGGAGGCCACAGGCTGCCTCTGACACCAGGACCAGAGTGGCCCTGGGGAGACACCGTGGCTCAGGGCGGGGTGTGCAGTGGTGCTCCACCAGGCCCCGCTGCCGCAGTTGCCATGGCTACTGCCAACATGCATCCTGAATTCTTGGGGCAGACCAAGTCCTGGAGGTTGAGTGCTGCTTCTTTGCAGCAGGACCCTTGTCCCTGCCCACAGGTTTGTGCAGGACACTGAGCAGGACCCAGGGGACTGACCTTCCCAGTGTGGGGGGCCTGGTGCAGCAGGGCCCAGCAGGGACGTGGGTGTGTGGTCCTTCCTGCAGCTGCTGCCCAAGTCTGGTTCAGTTCTCTTTCCTGCTGCACCTGCTTATGGAAGAGTGGTGCTGGGGGACCCCACAGAACAGCTCCCCCAGAGGCTGTGGGAGGGACAGGGCTGGGGAGCCTGGCATCCCAGGGTTGAATGTAGCACCTCTCCTGCGGGCTCAGGGACCACCAGTTGGTTTGTCCCTGCTGAGGACCTGGGTCTCTCCCTCTCTGATGGGGATAATCCTAGCAACCTGGTCAGGAGAACACAACGGAGGGAGACGATGTCACTCGGGGTGTGAAGTCCTGGCCCTGCCACTTCCGAGTGGGGCAGGGCAACCGTGGGCTGTCCCTCAACTGCAGCCACCCCTGAGCTCACGAACTGTAAAACAAGGCCGGGGAGTCCTTCCTTCTGCCACTGCCTCAAGGAGAAAGTGAACAGGCCCCGTTTTCTGTTTCAGCCCGTGTGCTCGTGAGGCTGGCATGCAGGATGGCAGGACAGCCCAGCCACATGCCCCACGGAGGGAGTCCCAACAACCTCTGCCACACCCCGGGGCCTGCCCACCCACCCGACCCACAGGTAAGCCCTTCTCCTTGTCTGCAGCGCGTTGAGGAGTCTCAGGAATGCCGGGGTCCTGCAGGGGGCTTTGCCAGCGAGGCCATCACAGGAGGCTCGCGTTGCCTTATAGTGCCACCCCAGGACGCAGCTGTGAGTGACAGACCTGGGTCTGCTTGTCGGAGGAACACACAGCCTCACAGGAGAAAAGACACCAAGCAGAAGAAACCCAGCAAGGCACCTGATCCAAACCAGGGTGTCAAAGAGGTTCTTCAAGAAGTGGCAGGCTGGGCTGGGGATGTGGCTCAGCGGTAGAGCTCTTGCCTAGCACGTGAGAGGCCCTGGGTTTGAATCTCAGCACCACATAAAAATAAATAAATAAAGATATTGTGTCCGACTAAAGAATAAATTAAAAAAAAAGAAAAAAAAGAAGTGGCAGGCTTGGGTCTACAGGGCACAGCAAGCTTGTCTGGGCAGGTTGACTAGGGACTAGATCAGAGGCATCCCCTGGGCATGATGACAGTTTCTTGTCCAGGGGTTAGCTATTTGTCCCAAGGCTCTAAGAACTTAATCAGGGGAGACTCAGATGCGGTCATATTCCTGAGCCACGGCAGCTTGTCACAGCTTCTGACTTCCTAGTTCCTGCTGGAGAGCTACAGCATCACCGCGTACCGTTGCACAGATTACACACTGCACAAAGCTACCTGGCCAAGCAGGCAGGCGGGTCTGAAGTCCTTCCCCTGCACTTGTCCTCTCACCAAGCCAAGGTCCGTGGTGCAGGGCTGCATTAGCCTAAGAGAAGGGGTATTGCTGCAAATTCCCATGCAGGTGACACGAGCTAGGGACGCTGCGTGTGCATGTACACACACACGCATGCTGAGGGTCCATAGACATCTGCGCAAATTGTACTCTCCATGCCCGCTACTGACTGGGCTGCAGGGGCCCATTTCCTAGGTAGAATTTGGGGAGGGAGCTCCCTGGAAGCTGGGAAGCCTTGGGACGCTGCCTGTCCAGGGTCCACCAGAGCTTGGTGCTGAGGGCTGGGGGCGCTGGGGCCTGCTTGGTGATGTAGTGATTTGTCATACTAAGTCACTCACTAACAATTGAGTCCCCCTTGATTAATCTCCCAGAATCAGCCAGTTGCATTTCGAGCAATTAGGGTTAATTACAGCCTCATTTGGCAGAGGAGAGAGCCCTGTAATTATTCCTCGCACGAGGCGAGGAGGCGGTGGCCACGGTGGTGGCGGCGTCCTCAGCATCTCCTCGCACATGCTGGAGTGGGTAATGACATAGTTAAGTGTAATTAGATACGATCACTCAGCGGTGGCTGCGCTGGGCAGCGGCTGTCCGCCAGGATGCCCCCAGTCCCACCAGCATCTGGCCGGGTTTGCAGAGTCAGGCGCACGGTCGTGCGTGCTATGCCAGCTCCGGCTTGGGGCAGGCACTGGGGACAGTCGGGCTCTTCCTGCCACTTCCTCATGAAGCACTGGTGTTCAGCCCCGTCTGGGAGACAGCACAGCCGAATCTCTCCTGTCCAAGGACATGGGACAGCGGAGGCACTTGCCCCCGTGGCAGGAGGCATACTATCTCCCCACAACTGCCTCGGAGCAAGGACCAGGCTCCGTGTGCTCACTTGTGGGCTGGGCTGCCTTCCACTCCCAGCTCCGTCCCTCCCCAGCCAGGTGACATTGAGTCAGTGTCCTTCCTGAACCTCAGTCTCCTCGTCTGTCAAGCGGGTGCAGCCTCTCTCACGAGACAGCTGTAAAGACTAAGTGAGGTAAGAGACTAGACATCCAGTGTGGCACCGATGTCCAGCGTGGCATCGACGTCCAGCATGGCACCGGCATCCAGCGTGGCACAGACGCAGTGTGGGAACACTAGCCAGGAAATAAGTCATGGATCCTAATTTTTTGAGAGCTCACTAGAGCCTTCATGCTCCACCTTTGCAGAAAGACCACAATCTGTGAACGCTCCAGCTGTGGTCTTGATTCACCTTCGAGGCCCAGGGCTAGTGGCTGTCCATTTCACGCAGCTTTCCAGCTTCGAGAGCCATTAGCACATGAAAGTGTGTTTGTGGGATGTGGCCGAGGTGTCAGTGCAGGCCACATACACGGGGAAGCTGGACACCCTTGGAGCGTCTAACGGGTGGATGCGTGGAGCAGAGAAGGGGATGAAAATGCCCTGTGTGTGCGCAGATGTTGTCAGGAGTGAAACGCTGGGTTGGCCGACCCTCGGGGAAGCACATGAGCTTCCAAGCAGGGCAGAGGTGTTCTTGCCGGAGACGTCCCTGCTAATGCGTCTTCCACCTGGGAGCCTTAGAAACCTGTGTGAGACGGGCCAAGCTCAGTTCTATTTGGAGCAGGGAGTGTGCAGAACTTTGCCAGATGGGGGTAGTGGTCGGTAGGTGTGCCCCGCACAGACTGAAATCTGCAAGAAAATCCTCCCAAAGAAACCATGGTGCTTGGATCACATTTAATGGCCAAATATTAACAGGCATTAAGATTTGAGAGTGTTTGCTAACGGTTGTAGATTCAGCAAAGTGTTTGTTTCCTGGGCCTTCCTGGTGCCTGGAGCATTGTCACGACTGCCATCAAGGGACTCTCGGTCTACTGGGGTCCCTACGTGTAAATAAAGTCAGCGTGCAGAGGTGGAAGGATGGACGGACGCAGAGGAGCCCAGAGAAGGGGGCGGCTGTATCTGCCAGTGGATAATCAGAGTTTGGGGCAGAACAGGGAGAAGAGAATATTCCAGAAGAGGTGCCTGGCCTTAGATAAGGCGTTTACATGCCTGTGCTAAGTTGGAAGAACGGGTGGCATTCGTGGAAGATCTCAGATCTGTGCTACACCACGTGAAATTGAGTCTGTATGAGTGAGGAGCCCACTGGGACTTAGAAGATCCATGGTGACCAGGCCTGGGGCTGCAGGGGCTGAGCCTGGGGAGGGAGGATTCCAGAGATGTCCATGGGGAAATGCCAGCTGCACTTGGTGACCAGATGGAAGGAGAGCAGAGACAGGCTGCGCCAGCCTTCTGGTTGGGTGCTGGGTGGCTCTGTGGTCTCTCCCCTCAGCTCTGGGCTGGGCAGTGTTCGAAGCAGGTTCTAGATTTCATCCACGGGTGTGGGCTCAGGCTTCTTTGAGGTGGGTTAATAAGGATCGCCCTGGGGGAGCAACCGTAATCACTTTAGGTGACCCGAGGTCTGTCATTAGCAGTCCGTGCTGTGGACATCACTGTTTCCATGAGCCGATGGCCTGTGGGGCTCTGTGCAAGCTCCCAGGTTGGGACACGGTGGTGACACCCATCTCATTCAGTCCTCCTGCCGACTCAGAGAAGCAGGTCCCACTCAGTGCTTCATTTGTAGGGAAAGAAACTGAAATGTGACAGAGTCAGAATGCAGCCTGGTCTCTGTGGCCCCAGAGGGTGTCTTCAGGCCACCAGGTCTGAGAGTGAAGATCGGCCTCTGCTTTGAATTAGCCAGATGGCGAGGCGCTGAGCGGGGCTGGCCTCGAGGGCTCCAAGGATGTGGTCTCTATAACGCAGGCCCTTCCCTGGGCAGCGCGGGTTTCAAACATTCCCTGTATACACATGGACCCAGCCCATCAGAAGTTCCCCTGGACGCGGTGTCAGATGCCTTTAAAGGTGAAATTCGTTTACAGGAAATGTCAGTCTGATGAAGTGTGCTTTTTAAAATCATAGGAACAGTTGCCTTAAAGTTAATGGTGCATTGCAAATATCAAGGAAAAGAGGCCCATCCAGTGTAAAGATGATTAAGATTCAGGTCAGAAGTCTGACTTAGTCAGGCTAAATTTTTTAATGAGATTTCAGAAAATTAATTGGGCGGATGCATTTTTATTCTTTTAACATGTAATTTTATGCTCCTATTTTTTTTTAAAAAAAGGATTTGTCGATGGCTAAGGCTTATTGTGGTTCAAACATTTTAAACTCAAATTAGCAAAGGGTGGGGGGTGTTTGTGGCCTAATTTGATGTGATTTGAAGAAGAGCTTTTCAGAGCTCTCGGGAGTGGGGCAGCCTGTGCCGGTTGGAGACACCCCACCCTCCAGTCTCCATTTAAGCCCCACTCGGCCAGAGGAAGCTGGTGGTGTTTCTAGGGAAGGTGCCTTTGGGACTAGAGGTGACTCAGGGGTCTCAGTGTCCCCCTGGCTCCTGTCTGCCAGGTCCTCCTGCTGTCCAAGGTCATTGCTCCCTGAGGCTTCTCCGTCTCCCCCGCCTCAGAAGCAGCTTAGGCCTCCTCCCTGGGTCCACTGCCAGATGCTGCAGGCTTGGCACCCCTGTGTCCCCCTCCTGGCACCGTGACCCCATTTTTTCTACCTTTGCAGGAGAACTTGAGTGGCATGACACCCTGGTGCAGGGACACGGGAGGCAGAAACAGCCTCCTGGGGTGTTGTCCCACAAGTAGCCCGCAGCCCAGCCCCAGGTGGGAGGCCCAGGGCAGCTGTTTAGCAAGGCCACTTGGCAAACAGTTCTGGGCAAGAGGCCACGAAGTCACAAGGCTGCATCCCTCACCTGCAAGTCCTGAGGTTGCTACAAGCCGAGTCAGCAGACCTCCATGGGGTGGGGACAAGGATGGAGATGAGAGCCACAGCCAAGAACCCACAGAGCTGCCCACGGGACCCCACTCAGTTCACCCCCAGCCCCTGGGAAGCCTTCGCCCCTCCACAGACACAGCACCAGAAGCAGGAACAATCGCAATGGTCACAAAGGTTCATATGCCACCCTCTCTAGGTGCCAGGCCCTTCACCCGTACTTCGCTTGCTAATGATGTAATATACTCTCAGTTATACAGATGAGGAAACTGAGACCCAGAAGCACTTGTCCTCAGCCCAGAGGTGGCAGAGCCAGGGTTTGAAGCCATGGCTCCAGGGCCCAGCATCGGACTCACCTGACAGAGCCACAGTGGTGGCTGCTCCCTGCCAGCATGTGCCAGGGCAGGGGATGTTTTTGTTTGTTTGTGAGACGGTCTCTAGGGGGGCATTCTCTATCCACAGGAGCCAGGACAGGGGATAGTAAGCAACAGGTGACCTTTTTCTGAAGGTGATGAGGTGCTCGGTGTGCCCAGTGGGAGCTGCCCTGGGACCAGCCCCCGTCTGCCCTGTGGGGAGAGCCCCACAGACTCACTGCCACCTCATCGCCTGGAGTCCTCTGAGAACCCAGGGGCAGCTGTCACATCCCTCTGAACAGATGACTAGTCCAGGGTCACTCGAGTGCCAGGACAGGGGTGGGACTTGCTGGGAGCTTCACAGGAGGGGAGAAAGGCCTTGGAGGGGACAACAGAGAGAGGCTGGCCTCGTGGACGAGGACAGCTCGCCCATTCTTTTCTTAGAGTTAAATCAGAGTCAGGGCTCCGCCGGCCTAGGTAGCTCACCTGGGAGCCCTGTGTCCTGAGATGCCCCACACCTGGGCAGAAGCCATCTGGGGACAGGCCTCTATTCCAACCCTCTGTGGGCAGCATTGGCCCCCAGAGCTGGCTGGACTGTGCCCTGAGTGCACGGTGGGCCTGCCCGGGCTGTGCCATGAGTGTGTTCCTCTAATTGGGTCGCATGGGTTGTGACGGGAGGAGCAGATCTGGTCACATGTGCAGACATGCAGCCAGGTCTCCCCAGGCCAGCAGTCACCCACTTCCATTTGGAGCCTTCAGACTGCTGGAAACTGGGCAGAGTGGCTTCTCAGCCTGGGCAGAGTGCTGGGGAGCCCAGCCAGCGCCCACTCCTCACAGTGAGAAGCCCACCCTTCCCCCAGAGCAAGGGCCCTCGGAGACCACTGCTAACCCATTGTACTGGGGGAAACTGAGGCCAAGAGAGGAGGGACCACCCTGTGTGGCCCAGTAGCACAGCTGGCTCTTGGTCAAACAGGAGTGGGTCCCAGCTCCACAGACGAGCTCTGCAGCCCAGCCTCTGACTCCCTCCTTGTTTATAACGGGTCAGCCATCCGCCCGCCTGCAGGCTGTTGGGCCAGAGAAGCTCGGTAGCTGCAGGGACTGCCACCGGGCACCCAAGTGCTCTGGGCATTGGCATCGCATAAAGACGGATGGGTCTTCCAAGTTCCAAGAGCCGCTGTGGCTGTTTCTGAGAGAGTGATCCAGCTGTGGTCCTGAAGGTGACAGTGCCTGGTCACAGGGTCCCGCTGTTGTGCCCCGCTGTTCTGAGCACATATTCCCTAGTGTCATTCAGCATACATGCGTCAGAGCACTCAGTGTTGGCACAGGGGACACTGAGGGGACTGAGTCAGAGGCCCCTGCTGGGGAAGCCTGTGGTCAAGGCATAGGAAGGGCTCAGGTGACTGAGGGAAGCCTGGCGGGGCAGCCGGCAGCTGGCCTGGCTGGTTGCAGGGTCTTGGAGGAAAAGCTGGGGTGTCTGAGTAGAGAGTCTGCCCTGTCAGCAGGAGGCACGGTCCTCAGTCCAGGGTCAGATCTGCAGCAGCCACTGCTTCCCTTCCTGGCCAAGCCCGTTTCCTGAGGTGGCCACCGCAGTGAGGCCCCAGAAGGTCCATCTGAGGAGCCAGTGCAGTGGCAACTAGGGTCTGAGTAGCCGGCGTGATGGCACATGGGCGCGGTACCTGGCAGGCCTGAGCGTTCTGTGACGCCTGCCTCTGAGGTGGCACACGGGTGCCGACGAGGCTCAGGGTCAGACTTCTGCACGGGGTGGGTGGAATCATCATCTTCCTCCCGCACGGGTCTCCAGGCAGGGACGTCCCCAAACTATCCATCATGAGAGGTAATTACGCCCCAAGACTTCAAAGTCAAGGTCATCCAGCTTTTATGTTGCTGGGAAAAGGAGCGTGTGACTGTGGGCAGCCGCGGGCTTTCATCTTTCACAACCGGCAGGAGCATGTCCGCGGAGCTTCCTTGGCACCAGCCCCACCACGCAGCTGAGCAGAAGGCTTGGAGCAGGACTAGGAGCCGCCCAGGGCTTGGGCTGCGGCCACCCTGCGCTGGCCTGTCAGTGACCATAACAGCGGCCACTGAACACCTCTGGTGCCAGGCTTGTGAGGAACACCAAGCCTGGCTACCTCACGTGATCTTCTCAAATGGATGCTTCTCCTGTCTCCATTGGCAGACAGGGAAGTCAAGGTCCAGAGGGGCTGGACAGCTGCCCAAGGCCTCCTTCCAGCAGGCGGCTGGACCAGGACTGAGGCCAGCTCATCTGGCCCCACAGCCGTGCACCAAGCCCATACCCACTGTCGGTCACACCAAACTGGTTACTTTAAGTATTTTTATTCTGGGTGATACTGAGACCCAGTCCTTGTCCCATGTCACCACTCAGCTGGGGAGGTGGTCCCCAGTGTCAGTGACCTCCTTCCCCACAGCAGGACTATTGGAGGAGAGAGTGAGGCTCTGTCTAAAACCACCAGGGAAGGCCATGTAGAGCTGTGTGACGTGGGCAGGGCTGTCCCTCTGCACCCCCGGGTTCCTCATAGGTCAAGTGTAGACATACAGGGGCCACCTCACTTGGGGGTGTGGGGCTGATCAGGGGTGTGGCATTGCCTCCCCACCTGGGCCCGGCATTGGGCCCCCTCTGCCTTCCCATGGGGGTATCTGCACACATACCGTGGAGGGGCAGCTGGCCACAGTGGCCTCTGCTGGCAGCTTCGTCCTTGGGCAGGCGCTATAGCTCAGTCAGAGGTTTCAGTGCTGGCCCTACAGTCACCATGAAGTCTCTGGTTTGGGTCACCATAAGGGGAGCTCAGAATGTAGGGCTGTGGGCTTGAAGCTCAGTGGGACTCTGAGCTGGGGGTGGCTCCCCCCAGGGAGGGCCCTGCTGTTTCTGGTGCTGATTGCAGGGTCTGGGGCTGATGGGACAGAGCGAGCCGGAGCCGTGTCCTGCACCCATCACGCACGCCCTGCTCGCTGGGCCTGACCTGCGTATCAGAGAGTCAAGGATGATCAGGGTGGCTAAGGACCCCGGGACCAAAGAGCCAGGCTTCTGGGGTCAGTTTTCAATATGAAGGATGCTGACCCGTGGTGGGGGCAGGGGGCTCCACGTCTCACGTGCCTCGGGCTGTTGGGCACAGCTCTGGGGACCAGGGTGAAGAGTCCCATGCCTGGGGGCTCCTTGGAGGCTCTGATGGTGGCGTTGGCAAACAGAGCCTCCTTCACCTTCGGGAGGTGCTGTTGGGGGTACTGGGGACCCAGAGAACCCACTCCAGCCTGTCTGTTCACCCCACCTTCTGTTCCCCTGCAGAGACACCCCAGCACCCTGTCTTTTCGCTGCTCGCTGGCAGACTTCCAGATCGAGAAGAAGATAGGCCGAGGACAGTTCAGCGAGGTCTATAAGGCCACCTGCCTGCTGGACAGGAAGACTGTGGCTCTGAAGAAAGTGCAGGTGAGCCGCAGCCCTGGGGTGGGCTGTGCACCTTGACACTGCCGCCTGGCCGGGGCGCCCCCCGCCCCTCTGTGGACACAGAAGTCAGTGTCCAGCCACCCAGCCACTGGGAGAGCCAGGGGGCTCATGGAGGGATGCTCACTGTGAACCATAAAGGACAAGAAAAAACGAGCATGCATTGAGTCCCTGCTGTATACTGAGTCATGCTCAGAATGCATGAACCTTGCATAACCTGTGCGTGGAGTGACTGTTTCATTTTTCACTTGAGGAAAACAGTGCAGACAAAGTGGCTCCCCAGGCCACAGGCAGTTCGGGGGAGCAGAGATCTGGCCTGCACGTGACTGGCCCCATGCCTGAGCTTGTTCCATGGTTTTGGGCTCCAAGGGTCCTTCCTGCCCTCTGCGTCCCTTCTAAATGGAGGAAAGGTGTCCCCTGGCGAAGCCAGGCCCGGTGCACACTGGCAGTGAGCTCCAGTGAATCCTGTGGAGCTTCCCGGGCGCCACCGTTTGCTCATTGGTCCTTAAAGAGCGAGGCGAGCAGCCTGCGCCTCCTCTGTCCAGGAGGGAGAGGGCAGCTCAGACCACCAGTCCCAGGAGGGGGACAGGGGGACGACTTAATGGTGTCCTATAGACCTGTGACCCTTGTGTGCCTCAGGACACTGGGGGGCAGCGGCTCCTGTGTCTGAGAGGGCCTGTTTGGGGGCCTTCCCAGAGGCTCGCCTGGGCTGTCAGCCTCTCCGGTGCCGTGGTGAGGGCCACATCGGGGCTGCTGCAGTGTGCGCCTTTGATCCCCAGAGGCGCCGGGAGGACCCTGCTGAGTGAGCTCAAGGGGGACTGGGGACTCGGGGACACAGTGACCCACACCACACAGGCCGGGCTGTTAGCCCCATAAGCAGAGGGAGAAACAGAGGCTCTGAGCACATGCCACTCACCAGTGTGTGGCCACAGCAATTCGCTGATCCCGGGGCTTCAGTCCCTTCCTCTGAGAGTTGGGTACAGTGACTCCATCACAGGAGTGGTCCTGGGATTAGGGGTGACACCATTAGTGCAGCACCGGGCTGTGGGTGCTCAGTCAGAGGGAGCTCTTGCTCTTAGGGGCCCCTTGGCAAGGAGGTGGGAGAGCTGGGACCTGAATGCCGGCTGTGACTCCCAGGCTCGGGTCTAACCGGCTCTTTCCCTCCTGTCAAGATCTTTGAGATGATGGACGCCAAGGCCAGACAGGACTGCGTCAAGGAGATCGGCCTCCTGAAGGTGAGTGTTCTGGGCCAGGCAGGAGTCCTTGTTGGCGGGCTGGAGGGTTGCACTGAAAGACAGCGTGGCTCTGCTGTGTCGGCCCAGGTCCCCCAGTCTAGATTCTGGGGACCATCAGCTCGCAGCATAGATGCACGTCCCTCTCCCGAGATGTCGGCCTTTTAGAAGCTGCTCTCGGGGGCTCTGGCTGGGCTGGTGTGTGGACAGGGCTGGGCACGTCATGGAGGGGTTGGGGTCCCGCTGCTCCCACCTCCTGGACTCAGTCACCAGGGGCTCCGCTCTGCTCCAGCCCCTGGGGTGCGTCCTGCGTGGGCTCCCCCGACCACCTCAGCCAGCAGGGGCTCTGGCGTGGGAGCCGGGGGCTGGGTCTGCGCACTGAGGGAATCAGTCAGGTGATGGGGACAAATATTCAGGAGTGCCCCCTGCCACTTGCCACCTGCCCCCTAGGCTCTCCACCAGTGCTGTGGGGACTTCCAGGTTCTTAGCCCACTCCCCTTCCCAGCCCTCCTCAAAACACGCCCATCTTACAGGTGAGGAAACTGAGACTCAGGGACACAAACGGCTTTCCCAGCGTCACCCAGGTCTGCCAACTCCCACGTGCAGACCTTTCCCCGGGCGCCCCCTCTCCAGTAGGTGCTGGGCGCTCGTCCTCCTGAGCCCGCAGGGCAGGCGTTGGGCTGGGCCGTCCGTCACGGATGCCAACTCGCTCGCTCTCTCTCTCCTGCCACAGCAACTGAACCATCCGAACATCATCAAATATCTGGACTCATTCATCGAGGACAACGAGCTGAACATCGTGCTGGAGCTGGCTGACGCTGGGGACCTCTCACAGATGATCAAGGTCAGGGTGCCAGGGAGCGTGTTCGGGGGCTGTCCAGACCTGGGCCCCAGGTCAGCAGCCTCTTGGCCCCCAGTCCTCACTGCCCTGGCCTCAGCCCTGGCCTGGTGGGGTCTGCAGGATCCATCCCCAGCCACCGTGGGCAGCTGAGAACCATGTCCCTCGACAGCCCCCAGCAGGTACCAACAAAGGCAGAGGCCATGCTTGGGCAGGGGGTGCCTGGCGAGGGCTCCTCTGTCCACCCACACTGCCCCAGCCTATCCAGGGCACAGGGGGCCACTCTTCCTCACAAAAGGAGCAGGGACAGCACCCTGTAGATCAGACCCCATCTCACAGGTTCTGGGAAAGTGCCCTGGGGGGGTCCCATTGCCTCGTTTTATAGGAGGGGAAATCTGAGCCCAGAGAGGTTGAGAGGCTTGCCTGAGATGCCAGCAGTGGGCACAGGGCGTGCTGGGCCCGCTTTGTTTTCCTGACCTGGAACTATTCAGTAGACACTGTCCCCAAGACAATCCCTCCAGAGCTGGGGGGACACTCTTCATTTCTATGTGGTGGCCAATGTCTGGGGCCTTTAAAGGGACTGAGGACTGGCCACGTGACACAGGGAGCCTCAGGCCAGACCTCGCCCTGGCGAGCCTCCCCTGCCCGCACTGCCCAAGTCACCTGGGAGCCTGGCATCAGGGACACTGCAGCTCCACTGATGGAGGGCTCTGGCCATCAGCCACAGCTGTGCCTCGCTGGCTCACGCACCCCGAGTCCACGCTCAAAGAGGTTTAGCCTCACAGCCTCTGGGTGCAGGAGCCTTTGCCCACAGCGGCCCCTGGCTCCCCGCCAAGGCCCTCACTTCCTGCCGGCCTGGACATTTCCCTTCAGCCCTGACGTGGGCACCCATCCCATCGCTGCCTCCCTGAGCCCCACCCCCCACCCCTTTCCCACTTGGAAAGGCGGGAGACGTGGGTTCTCTGCCTTCCCAGCAGGCACCGGGGCTGAGCCCTGCTCGCACTCACTCCTCTGAAATTCGGCCCCTAGGAATAGGCGTCACTGGGAAGCAGCGTCACTTGAGCTGTTATCACCGGCTTTTATATTTTCCTTGACATGTTAATGCATTTGCAGGGACATTAATCTCCGCTGGGTCCCCGGTGGGAGCAGATGTGCTCTACCGCATGTCACCCCCACCTCATCGCTTCTGCCCCTGTCCTTCTCCCCGACGGACGCTCGACTCCCACCGTGGGTCGGCCCCATGCTGACCACTTGCCCTGGCTCTGCTCTCAGGGAGCCCAAACCCTGACAGGAAAGCCTGTGCACGTCAGGGAAGGCTTCCTGGACAAGGGGACCCCCAGAGGCAGAAACAGCTGTGCACTTTGGTCCTCTAAGGGCACCAGATGAGGTGGGGACCTAGGGGTCACGCAGGGCCTCTTGGCCCAGGCTCAAGATTCAGGACCATGCCCTGAGGTCTGCAGGACTGCCCGAGACTCACGGCAGTGAGCAAACGTGGTCCGCCCCGTGTGTGAGAAGGACAGGACGCAGGGCCGTGGGAGGGCCAGGGCAGGACGCAGTAGCAGAACGAGTCCAGGTCGCACCCTGCGGCCCGGCCCCCTCGAAGCCTCAATCCACGCAGAGGGGCTGTGGGCAGGCAGGGGTTGGGGTGCCGCCATGCTGATCCCTCCCTTCCCGGGCCTCAGTGTCACCCAAGCCCAGGGACCGTTTAGGAGAGGGCACTGTGGGAGCGGCAGGCAGGTGCCCACTCTTCCAGGCTGCAAGAGAGCAGGGGCAAGGAGGGATGGACAGCCCCCACACCCGTGCCTCTTCCTGGCTCTCCCAGGCCCCCTGTTCAGGGTTCACATCAGTCACCAGCCCTGCAGGACGGGGTGAGGACGCGGGTGAGGGAGCCGCTGGGCATTCATCCCCTTCACTGGCCATCTCTCCTCCCACGTCCTCCACCCTGCCCACCCCTGCTCCCTCTGACAGCTGCGAGGGACTCACCTGAGAACTTGGTTTGGGGCAGCCCCCGACCAGGGGGAGAGACAGGGTGGGGCAGACCTGGCCCCTGGTCACACCTGAGACACACACAGGTGATCTTGGCGTTTTCTCATCTAACTTACTAGCCCAGTGCTGGGCGCAGGGAGGGAGCCACCTCCCCACCCTGCCCTCTCCAGCTCACTCTGGGTTTGGAGAACAGGGGCCTGGCCAGCTGGCCCGAGAGGTTGCTGGCCAGCAGGTCTTTGTCCCCGGGTCCTGCAGCCTGAGGACAAGGAGGGCCTCCATAGGCATGGGGCAGGCATTATTTACGAGGGACAGCAAAGCTCAGAGATGCTGCTGCCGCCCCAGAACCCACCAGAGACTCCGTGCCTTCCCACTAAATGTCAGGTGACGTTGAGAGGATGTGACATTTAGAAAATCACCACTCGGCTGTGCACATCTCCGCGTGAACACTGTAATGAGGATTCGGTAACTTCACGGTGTAAATATCCCAGCCCGACCACCCCCGAGCCCCGGGATGGCCCTGGGGGGGTTCTGCTGGAAGCCTGGGACAGTTCACCCACGAGGTCCCCCTCCTAGAGAGCCTCAAGGGACTTTGCTTTGAGGCCAGGAGCTTCCAGTTGTGACTGTCCCCCTTCTGGAGGCCCCAGCTCCAGTGCTGCAGCTGGTTACCTCTGGGCACATTCCTCAACCTCTCTGAGCTAGTGCCTGCTCAGTTTCCTGGAGTGGGCGGGGACCTGGGGCTTTCTAGGCAGGAAATCTGGGGCTGCGCTGTGACCTGGGCCCTCGTGAAAGGCCACCGTCCTCCCTGCTTTGGTCCTCTCTTCCACCCATAGCCCTTCCCTGGGTGGGGCAGAGATCCTAGGTCAGCTACTGGCTTCTCTGCACCAGAGCAGCTGCCCGACAAATGGGCACAGCGTTGCCTCTGGCAGCTTGGTAAAAACATGGCTGCCCTGAAGGGGAAAGCCCAGGAGGAAGACCGCTGCTCAGACACCTGGAGCAGGAGCCTTGGCCCCCGGCCGCAGCCCAGACCTGGCATTCAGGAGCCCGGCGTGTTGATGTGGCCACTGCTCAGGAAGAGTCCCGCCTCATCCCTCCAGGCCTGCTGCCTGCCCCAGAGCAGCCGAGGGGTGGTGCTTGGTTGTTTTTTCTGGAGTGTTTAGTGGGGTTCTCCTGACAGAGGGGCTGTTGAGAATGTGGACCTGCTTCCTCGAGGTGGCCCACTGTCTTTAGCAACCTGGCTGCATCAGCTCTGGGGCTGGAGGAGGCAGGGCAGCTGCCCTCCTCGTGGGCTTGTCCACAGGCCTGCGAGGGCCGCTGTGGGGCACCTGGAGATGACCTTCCCCCAGCTCGCACTGGGCCAGGCCGCCCCCAGTGCCAACCTGGGCCCAGGCGGTTGTGGAGGTGGCCCTCCTGGTCCAGGCTCGTGGTCTGCCTGGGAGCCTGCTCACTGGGCCTGCCCGTCTATCCCCACAGTACTTCAAGAAGCAGAAGCGGCTGATTCCTGAGAGGACGGTGTGGAAGTACTTCGTGCAGCTCTGCAGCGCCGTGGAGCACATGCACTCGCGACGGGTGATGCACCGAGGTGGGTCAGGCACCTGAGCCCCGCCCAGAGCTTCCCCGGGCTCCCCTTGCTCCTGGGAGCCCCACGAGGAGTCAGAACTCTTGGCATTGCCCACACAGGGCAGATGTGTCCAGCAGCTGCACACACATCTGCTCCGTGTCAGCAACCGCCTGCAGGGGACCTAAGTTCAGGGAAGGAGGGCCACCTGCACATGGTCTCCAGGCCAGTCTGCACCAGCACAGGTAGCCAGTTCCAGTGCGGCACCAGCTCTGCCCAGAGAAGGGAACTTTGATGTGGGCTTTGATGTCCTAGTAGGAGTTGGCCTTGCCCTCAGGGAGCCCATCACCTGCAAGGCCCTCCCCTGGCCACCCAGGCCACCTGTCACTCACCAACTCTCCTCTTTCCCTGCAGACATCAAGCCTGCCAACGTGTTCATCACGGCCACGGGCATCGTGAAGCTCGGCGACCTCGGCCTGGGCCGCTTCTTCAGCTCCGAGACCACCGCGGCCCACTCCCTAGGTGAGGCGCCCATCGGCCCTGCAGTCCCGGGGGGCCATGTCTTTAGCAACCTGGCTGCACCAGCTCTGGGGCTGGAGGAGGCCGGGGGCGTTCGGTGGATTAGTATAGGAAAATGCCTCTGGAAGCCCAGAGCTGACTCATCCTTTCAGAACAGACCCCAAAGGAGTGAACAGGCCTGAGGAGCCGTGGGCCACTCTTGCCCCCTCCAGGGAAGGCCAGTGGAGCCCAGGCTGGGGGCAGGAGGTGTCAGTGGTCCTTGACCTTGCCCGCTCTCCCCCCTCTCCCCATGCACGCTCTTCCACCCACACTCCGTTCCCTGCACATTTGAATTGCTTCCATTTTTTTGGGTTGTTTTGAACAGGCAGTTGTGAAGCTGGGGGGAGCCAGCTGTCACCCAGGAGGTGGCCTTGCAGCTGCTGTGCAGGGTGAATGAGAGCTGTAGGGTGGGCAGAAGGAGCAGGCCAGCCTCCCGGTGGAGCTGAGCGGGCGCCTTGGTGTGGTAGGGACAGGGTCCTTGGGAGGCCACAGGCTGAGGTCGCAGGAAAGGGAGGCGAGGCCCTGAATGCAGGAGTTGCTGCAGGGAGAGACTCGACTGGGTGTGTCAGTCCCTGTGCTTGTGTGTGATGGGCCTGAGGCTTGGGTGACGACAGTGGGGAGGTGCTGACTTACAGAACAGGGAGGAGCACAGCCCCCATAGAGCATGGAAATGGGGCCACCACAGAGGCCGTGGGATGGGCAGGGCCTCCTGCTTCCCCAGAGCCAGTTCCCGGCACCCACTGTGCTGCCCAGCCCCCGGCCAACATACCCTGGGTGACAGAAGGGAGCTGGACCCGCGCACAGGCGGCCGCCTCCCTGGAGCGGCAGTGGGCACTCCACGCACTGCACGGCTCAGACCCAGGCATCTCCCGTCCCCTGACACCTGGGGGCCTGTGGCCAGCTGAGTGTGCCAGTAGCATCTTCTGGTGACAGGACAGGTGCTTTCGGGAAGAGGCTTTTCTATGGAAACTGTCACTGTTCATTCAGGTCCTGAGGGCTTAGAGACTCCACGTCTGGCACACACTTAGGAGAAATGTATAGGCTGCTTCTGGGAGTGAGGTGGGGGAGTTTCCCTGTCCATCCTGGGGGCACCTGGCCTGGCCACTTCCTTTGACTCCAAAAGAAAGGATTTGCAAGGACGTCCCCAGGGAGATAAGGATGCGCCTTCATCTCTGCAACAGGCTTGGGCTCTGTGGCACCCTTCCTTTCCACAGATGAGGGGTCCCTAGTCCAGGAAGCTGGAGTGATTTTATTTTCATGCCAGGACTCGAATGAGGGCCTTTCCTGCCAGAACCCATGCTTTCTCCCAAAGGCCAGGGCTGGGGCCACAGAAGACAACCTGGAGTCTCCACCAGGGACCCCGGCCACTGGCTCTCCACTGCCAGAAGGACTCCCTGTCTTTCCAGGTCCTCTCAGACACCTCTCTGGTGAAAAACAAGGTGTTCCTGTCAGTTTGGGGCTGTTGGCCGAGCTGGGTTGGTTGTTCACCTCATGATGGAATCAGCCTCTGCCCTAGTTGACAGGTGCTCTACCACTGAGCCGCACTGCCAGTCGCCCCATCTGGCGTCAGAGCTTCAGAAGGGCCAGAGCACGCTAGGAAACTGTCATAGAAGAGTGAAGGTCCCTGCCTCCTGGGCCCATCAGTCAGGCCTGAGCCTTTCTCTGTCCCACTGCAGAAGAGATGGCGGCACTCGTCAGAGCTGGTTAGGATCGCATCATTAGGGACGGGCAGAGATACCGTCTCTTCCGACAGCGTGATCTTGATCCACTCGGACTGGTGCACTTATTATATTAATGAGAAGGAATTGGAACTTGGGAAAAGGCCGCCCCCCTGAGCCAGGCTCTTCCTGATGCCTCTGAGCAGCGACCAGGACATGTGATGGGTGGAAGGAGCTTTCACAGGCCCGTCCCCGCTCCGGGCTGTGCACCCAGCATGTGGGACACACCACTGAGCTGAGGCTTGCATGGGGGATCGGCCAGGCCCTGCTTGCTGGATAAGCACCCAGAACCCAGGACTCTGCATCCCCAGGCTCTGTGAAGGGGACAGCATGAGCCAAAGCACAGGACCCAAAATCTCCACAGCAAGGTTCTGCAGAGAGCTAAGTCTGACACACATTTGGGCAAGAGATGGAGCTAATAGGCATGTATCAAGACTCAGGAAGGACACAGAGGCAGGGGCTCCTTCACATCCCGTGTGTGGGTACGACTTATGAATCCACCGGGTCTGATGTGTACCTACTATGTGAGGATGCTGTGGTGGCGGCCACTTTGTCCTGGCACCACCTCGTCTCCCAGGTCTGCTGACCCAGGACCTGGGCTTATGCAAATCCGATCTCCTCCGCCTCCCCCGCCCCTCGCTGCCGCTGTATTTGCTAACATGAGGCTGGCATGAAAGGGTATTAGTCAGTGCCATGGTCGGGCTGACAGGTGTGGTACCCAGCGGTGGCAGAGCGGCTGCCTCAGTGTCAGGAATAGGAGCCGTAATTAGAGCGCGGAACAGAATGAGCGTCAGACGAATTACCAGGCAGCAGATCATATTTGTCAGGAAGGATTGCATACATAAAAATTAAGTGACAGTACACGCCGGCGTAATGAAAGAAAAATGAAAGATTTGCCTATACACCACTCACAAGCTACAAGCAAGTGTCTCGCTCCAAGCAACGCAGCAGCTGCAAGACAACCAGGGGCTGCAGAGTGGCTCCCAGGCCCTGCTCGCCTGCAGCAGGGACAGGCGGCCGCGGGCTGGCACTGGGGGTGGGAAGGGTGGCTGGCTCGTGCCCAGGGCCTGGGTAGGGCACTGCATGGCCTCTCAGGCTGGGGAATAGACCCGCTGGGGGCAGCCCCCATTACGTACAAAAGACTCATGTTCCTTCCTGCTTCCCTGAGCTGGTGCAGGGGTCTGTGATTCTGCACTCTTCCCTTCATTGAAGGGACGCCATGTTGACAGAGGGACAGACATAGGCAGTCCCAGGTGGCCTGGTGAGAGGACAGGAGACCCCTCCTGAAAGCCTAGTGCACACAAGTGGATGCTGGCCAGGGACTCCAGCTGCACCAGGGTCTCCAGGGTCTCCAGGGTCTCCAGGGTCTCCAGGGTCTGGACTGTCTCAGCCTCTCCAGAGCCACCCTTGGCTTCATTGTTCCAGTCTCTGAACTCGAAAGGGCAAGTCAGAGGAGGAAGAGGCTCAAAAGCCACTCTTAAAACATTTTGCTTTAAAAAAGGGAAAGAAAATCATCACAACCAGGCTGTTTATGGATGAGGAAACTGAGGCTGAGAGGCTCTGGGGCCCCGCCAGGGATCACCGCAGTCCTGTGGTCACATCCACAGTGCGGTGGGAGATGGGTTGGGCCATGGGTGCCCAGAGACAGGGTTGAGAGGATCCTAAGGTGCTTCTGGGGCAGGAGACACTGGGTGCTCCCAGGGCTTGATGTCACAGGAAGGAAGGAGCCAGAGCGTTGCGGGGGCCTGGGGGCTTGTCCTGAGCCCACGGGGAAGGATGGGGCTCCTCTCCTCATCACGGGCCAGTGCTGCCATGCGTGGGACCACGTGAGACCGTGCCATGCTGCGACCTGCCTGCACTGACTGGGGTCTGCCCGTCTGCACAGCCAGATGCCCCCCGTGACCCTGGGGTGAGACAGAAGCTGTGTGGTTCCAAGCCTGGCCTCCTCCTGCCCACAGCGCAGGACACCTGGGAACAATTCGTGCCAGTCCCTCTGACCCAGAAACCTTCCTCAGCGGGTAGTGCACCAGCCTGAGTTTCAGGTGGTTCTGGGGCCGAGGGCTGGGAGGCCAGGTGTGGCCATGTTGGATGAGCTGCTGCCAGGGAAGCTGAGGGGGCTTCAGGGGACGGAGTGAGGGATGGGTCTGAGCCTGGAGGCAGAGGCAGCCCCTCGGCATGGACCCCCGAGGTCGCTGTGGCCCCTGCTCAGGGAAACCTGCAGCCTGGGAAGAGGCTCATCACCACTTCTTTCCCAGAGTGGGAAGTGAGGTGGCAGGAGGGGCACCCTCTCTATCGTGGGGACGCTGAGGCAGGGCCGGCCTTTGGGATCTCCACTGGGGAGCAGGGACTGCAGTGAGTGGAACCGCGGTCTGGCTCCAAGTTCCTGTGGTGTGCACACCCCTGCCGCCCCAGGAGGGCCCTGCCTGGGGAGAGACGCAGTGGCCCTGGCTCCATTTGGGGAAGGGGCAGCTCCCAGATACCAGGCCTCGCCCTCACGTGCAGTCTGCCTTTTTCACATCTAATGAACACGTTTCAAACACTGCGAGCCTTTCAAAACACCCGAGGTTTGTGTTGACAGGCGCGTCCTGGGAAGCAGCGCCTTTAATCAGCCGCCCCTTTGAGGCCCGTGTGCGCTCTCCTCTGATATGGGCGGGTTTGAAATCACGAGGCCTACTGGGGACTCGGGTGGCCAGGGTTCCTTAGGTCTCTCCCGCAGGCCCCACCCAACCCCCCGCTGGGGGGGCGTAGTTGCTGGGAGATGGGTCAAGGCCCAGGCCAGGTGGGCTCAGTGGCATCTGTGTGTCACTGTAGGGTGGCTGTCTCATGAAGCAGGCTGTGCCACCCACAGAGGTCCCCAGGGACAGAGTCCCTGTCTGTGGAGACACCTCCTCCTGCCAGCTTCTCCCAGTCCTCATCCCCAGTGGCCCACCGCGAGCTCGGGTGTCTTTGAAGTTCCTCGTTTCATCTTAGATACTCAGCAAGTAGCGCCTGCTCCATCCACCTCAGATGTGCCGTCGGCGGACGCGGGCTGCACGTGACTCGCTCCAGGTCAGGCTGGTGCGGTGGAAGAGGCGCTGCCCTGCCCTTCTGGCCCCACAGCAGCGCAGAGATGGACCCCAGAGCACCCCCCTTTAAGGTGCTCATACCCGGGGGAGCAGACCCTCCCCTCGGTGGAGGGACCTGAGGACCCCGCCTGCCCGGGATGGGTCACACCTGCCTCCATTAATGCTTCTTAAATCCACTGGGTTTTGTCCCCGTCTGCTGAGCACCTGAAAGTCGCTGCAGGTGGGCCACCAGGCTCAGCCTTCCCTGGCCCTGGAGCCTGCCTCAGAGCCCCCAGCACTTGTGAGAGCTGCAGGTGCCCAGGGTCCGCCCGGAGGTCTCGCCACAGTGCTGGGGTCCACATTGTCTCAAGCCCTCCCAGGTGGCCACCCATCAGTCCAGCCTTGACACATGTAGCTGGCTCCCCCCCAGGCACCCCGGAGACAGGCTGCTCTTCCTCCTGACGGGTCCCCTGCAGCAGGGCCCCCACTCAGCAGCAGCCTCCGTCACCACTGGATGGAGGGGGTGGACGGATGACCAGGGGATAGATGGATGCACCCACTGTTGGCAGACAGTAAATTGAGGGCCAGACAGATGGACAATGATGGGTGGGCAGCGGTCTGAGGTCCTGGCATCTTAGAATAAAGCCCCCAGTTGCCCGAGGCACTCGTGTCTTTCCCACAGTGCGAGTGAAGCAGCCAAGGCCTGGCCACTGTGCAGGTCATCCTGGCCTGTCCCAGCATCCCTCCTGTGAAGGCCCAGGCAGATGTCAAGTGAGCAGAGGGAAGTCTGAAGCACAGAGGAGCCGCCAGGCCAGCCAGCAGGGACCTCCACAGGGGTCCTGAGGGTGCAGAGCAGACATGAGGGGCACTCCAGCCCTCCCAGGGGACAGCACCTCCACCCATCACCTCAGGGCTGCTATGTACCCCATGGACCCTACATGCCTGTCCCCCATAGACACACCATCCACAGCACCCGGGTGCTGGAACCCACTTGCATCAGCCCAAGGTGCTCACCGTGTGCCTGTTATAGTCGCCATGGTGACTCAGGCACCCCCTTCACACTTGGCTGTGACCCCAGTGAAGGTGGTTTTGCTTCTAGGAGTCCCCGTTTTGCCTTCCCCGTGGACTCCCATAGGTGCACTGGTGACCTACAGCCCTCCCTGTGAAGAGCCCTCAGCCCCCGGTTCCAGCCGTCCAGTGTGCAGACAGGATGGCGGTTCTCCAAATCAGGTCTGGAAGGGACGGCTGCTGCCCTTCCTCAGGGAGCACAGCCATGGAAGGGAGCTTGGTGGCCTCGTAAAGCAGGAGTCATGGCTTATACCCCTGAGCTCACAAAGACCGTCCCTCCATGGTGGCCATACGTATTGAAGGGGTGTCTGAGGCTACAGGGAAGGGGACAGACCCTGGCACAGCCCCACGTGGGTCACTGACTCAGGGATGCACACAGGCACCCGCGCTCAGCTGTACTGGAGCAGGGTGCTAGTCACGGCGGCAAGCAAGGCCCTGTCCCTGGGGAGCCCACAGCCTAGAGCAGTGGCACCCAGCGCCACCCGCGCCCCTGCTCATGGGGCAGCCAGTTTTCCTCCTTTTCTGATAAGACGAGAAAACCAAGATAATAACAGGCTCAGACAGTTCACTTTTTCACACTGTGCTTTTATTTTATTTTTTAATAACTATTTTATTTCATTCACTTATTTTTATGTGGTGCTGAGGATCAAACCCAGCACCTCACACATGCTACGCGAGCGCTCTGCCACTCAGCCCCAGCCCCAGCCCCAGCTCCTGTGCTTTTATTTCAAATAATACTGTCACTAAGGGATAGTTGGGGTTTTTATGGGGGGGATAATTTTTAAAAATACAGTTTTTTTTCCACTTAGAGAAGGAATGATCTCCCCGGCTCACTTCTTAAGTTGGCACAAAACCCACCCTGTGTTTGCCCCCAAATGTCTTTTGCTGCTGTGCACCCCATGGACCCTACGAGCCTGTCCCCCATAGGCACACCATCCAAGATGCCCTGAAGCCTGGGCCGCTGCTACATGGCCCGTTCTCTCAGGACCCCTGTGTCACCTTGGCCACGCTGGACCCCAAACTCCTTCCTCTGCGTACTGCCGCAGCCTGCTGTGGGGCACACATCTCCAGGACAATGACAATGCTCTTGTGGAGCACATTTCAAAACCTGGTCCTCAAGCCTCCGCAACAGTCATCCTCCATGTGGGCTGATGACAGTCTAGATCCCTGGGCCCCACCAGACTGGCCAAGGCAGCATTTCTGCCACAGCTTGCTGCCTCGGGTGGGGACTCGTGCCCTCTCAGGAAGTGTCCCCATCTTGCACAGCTCAGCTCTTCTGAAGCGTGTTCCAGAGGCAGCACGGCAGGGCCTGGAGGTCAGCACACCCTTCCAGGATGTCCTGAGTGTTGGCCTTTTCTGAGGGAAGAGGGGGACCACCAGAACAGTCCCCTCCTGTTGGTGGCCGAGCCTCATCCTCATCATCCAAAACTTTTCTTTTTTTCAATACTGAGGAATGAACCCACAGTGCTTTCCCACTGAACTTCACCCCCAGCCTTTTATTTTACTTTTTATTTTGAGACAAGGTCTTGCTAAGTTGCCGAGACAGGCCTCAAACTTGCCATCCTCCTGCCCCAGCCTCTTGTGTATCTGGGTTACAGGTGTGCACCACCGCACCTGGCCTTTTTTTTTTTTTATTATTTTTTAGTTGTCAATGGACCTTTATTTATTATTATGTGGTGCTGAGAATCAAACCCAGTGCCTCACACATGCGAGGCAAGCCCCCTACCACTGGGTCACAACCCCAGCCCCCACCTTTTTTTTACTTTTTAATTGAGGTGTGATATGTGTACAGTAAAGTCCCCTAGTGCCCTTCCTGGGCCACTTTCCCTGTGCATGCTCTTTTGGCCTGGTTTCTTTCACTTAATATTTTGCTTATGAATGGACCTAGTTTTGTTCTTTGTAATACTATATAGTATTCCACCTATGATTAGGCTGTAGTTTATGTGGTTTGTCAATTTATCCAATCTGGTGACTGATGTTTGTTTCCATGTTGGGCTATTGCACATCCCCTCTGCACATCTTTGATTGTGTCTTTTAAGAGACAGAGCATCGGGTGACACCCACCTAGGAGTGGGATGGCTGGGTGACAGCCCCGGCAACCTGTGCATCAGTAGATTTTTGTTCTGTTTCGTGTCATTCTCATGGAACACAGGAGGTCCCGTGGCTCTGTGCGTCACCTGCTTTGTTTTCTTGGCTTTGGTTTCTCTCTAGCCCTCAGGTGGGTGTGTAGTTGCAACCTGTTTTACTTGTATTTTGAGTCTCCCTGATGAGTACTGAGAAGCCCGATGCCGTTCCGGGTCCTCTCTCTCTGAGGCACCCCTTTGCTCACCTGAGGGGCGGGGCTGTTTTCTTCTACTCACTGGTTTATAGAAGTTTTAAAAGATAAGCAGCTGGCTCGTGCCTGAAATCTGTGGCTTAGGAGGCTGAGGCAGGAGGATCACACATTCAAACCAGCCTCAGCAGTTTAGCAAGGCCCTAAGCAGCTTAGTGAGACCCTGTCTATAAATAAATAAAAATTTGGTTGGGGGGGGGGGGGCTGCGGGTGCAGCTCAGTGGTAGGGCACGTGTGCCCAGCACTGCAACAAATGAATGAGATAAAATGTATCCTTCGTGTCAGTCCAGGGGGGCGGGGTGTATGGACTGAAGAGATTTCCTCGGGCTGGGGCTTGCCTTTTTTTGCTACCAGAAATCAAATGCAGTGGCACTTTACTACCGAGCCACATCCCAAGTGCCCTCACTTTTTTTTGCTTGTTTGTTTTGAGAAAGCCTTGCTAGCTTAGGGCCTTAATAAATTGCTGAGATTGGCCTTGAACTTGGGATCCTTCTGCCTCAGCCTCTGAGATGCTGGGATGACAGGTGTGTGCCACCGTGTTCAGGTGTGGCTTCCCTTTTCACTCTCCGAATGGTGTCTTTTGATGAACTGAAGTTCTTCACTTTAATGAAATATTTTTGAGGTTTGTGCCTTTTCTGTCCTGCTTAAGCTCAGCCAACCCCAAGTCTGGACAAGGTGTAGCCACAGATGGTGGCTATGTACAGTTTTGGGCGCCTGTGGGTCTGGGGTCACACCCCATTTCTGCTGATTTATGGGAGCCTCTTCCCCTGTCTGAGCCTCAGTTTCTCCATCTCTGAAATGGGGCTGCCTCCTCATGGGCTGTTGGAAGTGAGAGAGTGTGGAAGGGTCACCGTCAGCAGTGATTCTTTTCCCATTCAAAGCCTCATCCAGACTCTTCTGGATTCAGACGATCATGTTAAAGGACCTTTGGTTGCTTGCTTCCCATCCCCCATGGCTGGCAGAAACACCCTCTGGCTGCCCAGCCCCAGCCTGGCTCTCAGGTGGGTCCTGGGAAGCTCCTTGAAGTTCACAGGTGCTTTTGATGCCCTTCCAGCATGGGTACCTGCCCCCGCTCAACCTCACACCTGACAGGAAAAGACAGGCCCAGAGAGGAAGGGGGCTGCCCAGAGGCTGGGGCCTGCTCTGTCCCCTCCCAGAGCCCCAGTGCTCCTGCCCGTCCTGGCCCAGGCCCTCAGCACCTGCCCCTTGCTGTGTTTCAGTTGGGACGCCGTACTACATGTCACCGGAGAGGATCCACGAGAATGGCTACAACTTCAAGTCGGACATCTGGTCCCTGGGCTGTCTGCTGTACGAGGTGAGCCTCTCCCACAGCTCTGTGGTCTTTGGGGGCACGTCTGTGGGGGACTCCCGGGCAGGGCAGAGCTCAGGTGGGAAGCTAGGGCTGCGCTTGGCTTGGTTAGCGATGTGGCCCAGTGGCCAGCAGCAGGCCGGGGCCAGCCCTGCTAGGCTGCTCAGATCCGGGATGAGGGATGGACTGTAAGCAGACAGAGGGACACAGACAGGTGACGTGGGCCACTCAGGCTCCCTCACTGCCCCCCGCTGTTTCCTTGGTGACTGCGTCGGCATGCTGATGGCTTTGCTTGTTGTTCATTATGTGAGGATGGATGGGGCCCGTGCAGGGTGCTGGGGACAGGGGAGCATCAGGCCTCATGGATGAGTCGCTGTGCTAGAGAGGCATTTGCGTCCTTGCAGGCCTGGGAATGCGGGTCTCACCAAAGACTGCATCCCGCCCCCAGCTGAGGAAGAGCCACTGGGTGGCCATTTCCAGACCTGGAGCCAGGCTGGACCGAGGGACAGGGCGATTTCTGTGTCTTGGTGGGCCGAGCCCCGCCCACTGACTGGGCACACGGGGAGCGCGCACTCTTGATCACAGGGCTGTGACAGCCCCCAGCAGAGGGACGCCTGGGCCCTCTGGCGTCTCGGAGGGGTGCCCGACTTGCACGACCTGCCCTAGGCCACCTGATGCTGGACGGCTCTCGGAGTCTGTCCACCTTGTGAACGCCAGTGTCCCCACCCTGCACTGTCACAGCCCTGGTAAACGGACGGGGCGGAGGGCTTTGGTTGGAACCTTGACTATTCCTCTGCTTTCCCTGGAGCCAACACGGGTCCGGCGGAGCTGATCAGCTGAGGAACCTCTTTAAAGGGGATGTGGGTGGGGACACTCTGTGGCAGGGACAGGACATTTCCTTTGCTTCCTGGGAGGGGTCACCTCTTACTCGCCCCCGTGGTCCTGTGGGTAAGCCTGCGGTTCGTGCTGCCCATCCTGCAGCACCTGGGCCAGCCCTTGTGTCCCCTTGGCAGTGGGATTGCCCCTCCCTGCATTGCTCATGGACACTGAGGCCACAACTGTTCTCTTTGTAAGGTTTAGATGTTACCGTCTTTTTAAATCAGGGGCATGTGAGTCATAAGAACAGATGTTGCACCTTATCACTGCGTGTGATGTGGGGTGTGTGTGTGTCTGTGTGTGGTATGGTGTGTGGGGGGTGCTGCTGGATGGAGCCCAGGGCCTCAGAAGGCAGGCCGAGGGCCCCACCATGGGCTGCACCCCCAGCCCCAGCTGGCACATCTTTGAGGTCCGGCTAGGGGTGGCCATGTGGCTCGGGTGTGGCCCCTTCTCCTGGACTCAGCAGAGCAGGCAACCCCAGAGCCACCTCCCACGTCTGTGGCCGAGTCAGGCTCCGGTGGTCAGCAGTGGGGCAGGCCGTGTTCCCTCTCCTGGACTCTGCAGGTGTCAGATGCAGGAAGGGTCTTTAATGAGCAGTGGCTGGGCACTCCGAGGCCAGGCAGTGCCCCGAGTGGCCGCCACAGATTGGGGCGTGCAGAGCATGGCTCCCCACCTGTCTCTCCACAGCCCAGCTCCTGGATGGGCTGAAGCCAAAGCAGGTGAGCAGGGTGGGGTGTGGGCTCTGGGGAGGGACAGAGGTGCAGGGCGGGTCTGGAGGGCAGCCATGTCCTTAGCAACAGGAGGAGAGATGAAAATCAGAGCTGTCCTCAGCAAGGACCACAGGACAGCGGCTGGTCCTGGGGCCCGGTACTGGCACAGTCACAGTAGCAGGGAGCTGCTAGGCCATAGGCACTGCCGTGGTGCTGGTGCTTGTCCCCGAGGTGAGTCGTGAGTTCAGGGTCTTTCCAGCCATCGCTCCGTGTCACCTTTGCAGGTGACACTCCGGCCACCAAGGGCCAGTGACAGCCAGCTCTCACCCAGTTCAGGATTCAGTGTAGCAGCCCTGCCACCCACCTGCCTGGCCTGGGGCCCAAGGGGGACTCAGACCCACCTCTGAATGGACATCACATAGCCAGGTGTCAGGTCCTGAGGGGTAGGGACAGCTTTTCCGGACTCCCAAAGCCCAAGTCAGTGCAGGAGGCAGGGTCAGTGAGGCATTCTGGGTGTGTCCACACATGCCCACACTCACAACTCACAGCTGTGGTCATTTGGGGGAGAGGCGCAGGGCCCAGCAGGAGCCTAGACTGTGGTCAGGAGTTCCAAGTCCCAGCCAGCAGTTGCCTGCCAAAGGGCCAGGGCAGGTCAGCCCCCACTGCTGGGGCCGTCACACTGTGGATAAGCTGGGGTCACTACTGCCTCACAGGAGTGAATGCACCCTGGGGGCGAGGTGCCCGCTCAGAGATGCCCTCAGCCTGACCACCAGCCTGCTGAGCCCATGCGAGCTGGGTGATCAGTGTCCACTGCCCACCTCTGAGGCAAGGCTCCCGTAGCTGGCCCTGTTTCCCTTTTTGCTTTGGCCAGTGGGAAGCCCTGGTGCAGCTGAGCTTCAGTCCCTGTATGCTTCCCCTGTCTCTGTCCTCATGGATGTTGACCCTAGTCCAGATGGCTTTTCCTTTTCTTTTCCTACTGTTTTATTTCTGGAAACTGCTTCTTGCCCCCGTAAGCCATGAGGGTCTCTAATATAAACCAACACAGGCCAAGCCGGCCGGGGGAGAGCAACGCATCCCCCAGGGACCCTGGGAGGAGGGTGGGCGCACCCTCAGCTTGGCCAAGGCCTCTGCCACACGCCAGCCATTCCCTGCCGCAAGCCTTTGTCCCAATCCTTAGAGGCAGATGCAGCCCCAGCCTCATTGGATTCCCAGTCAGGCAGGCCAGCTCCGGCCGTCTCGGCCTCCTGAACACATGTCCAACAGGGGCAGCGTTCCACCCTGGTGGCTCCCCGGCATCAGGCTCCCGCCTGGGCGACTTGATTTATTTGTTGGCAGTGTGTGGGGCCACGTGGCCTGCAGCCAGAGGGACAGATCGTCAGCGGGAAGCCGATGTGATCAGTCAGTCAAGTCCCTCGGGGACTGAGTGTCCTCAGGGAGGCAGGCGCCCATCTAAACCTCATGGCCCTGGGCCCCCCACGGAAGAGGGCCAGCATGGCAGATGTGGCCGTTGTGGCCAGCCCCTCAAGGGTGACAGGGCACCCCTCTCCCCACTCCCGCAGCCCGGCAGGGAAGGAGAAGCGAATGTTTTCCCAGCAGACATGGAGGGGCCACATCTGGGCCTGGGCAGCAGTAATTGGAAGGAGATGTCCCAGTGTCACGTCGCAGCCTCCGCTGGTCAGCCTGCAGGGTCTTCCCAGGTGCCAGCCTGAAGAGCTGTGACAAAGTCCCCCGCCACCACCACCCGCAGATGCCGACTGGCGATCTGGCGTGGTGCTGGGCGCACATGCCTGGGGCAGCATGGCCAGGGGCTGAGGCATGCCCAGCCAAGGACAGCACTGCCCCTGGCCCCCCCGGCCCCCAGCGTGGCTTTGGAAGTCTCAAAGTGCCGCATACTAGCTCTCCATGGTGGCTGTGACAGATCACATCGGTTGATGGCCCCGAGCAGCATGTCCCTCTTACAGCGCTGCAGGCAGAAAGCCCAGTCCTTGTCCCCAGCTAAGGGCAGGTGTCAGCAGGCTGGTTCTTCTGGCCAGGCAGGGGTGTCGAGGAGTGAACCTGTTTCTTTGCCTTTTCCACAGAAAGTGGAAGGGTACCCCTCTCTGGAACACTCCCCTTAGTGTGCCCTCGCTTCCGTCAACACATCCGGTCTCCCTCTGTCATCACTAGGACCTGTGATTAGTGAGACCCACCCGGACAGTCCAAGGTCCCTTCCCACCTCAGGATCCTAAACTTTATCACATTTGCAAAATCCCATTTGCCACATAAAGTGACATTTGCTGATTCCGGGAACTAGGTCGTGTATGTCTTTGGGGCTATTATCAAGCCCACCGCATCCCCTTTTGCACCTGGGCATCCACCTACCACCACGCACCTCCTGAAGTCAACGCAGATGCGATGCTGGCCCCCAGCTGGTGAGCCCCCAAGCACACGGTGGGGCCAAGTGCGGCCGGCATTGGCCTCAGGAGTCATGCCCCATGGCCTGGCCACACAGCCCTGGGCACAGGAGCAAACCATGGGAATCAAAGGCTGGCTGCAGGGGCGTTCTCAGCCCGGAGCCTGGGCAGAGGTGCCAGAGTGTGGCCACACCAGGCCCAGTGCTTCACTTAGGGGTCCCCCGGGCTCTACAGAATTCATGTATTCACACACAAGCCCACATCTGAGCACAGAGCTGAAGGCGTTGGCGCTCAGTGCCAGGAACCCCCGCTGGAACCCCTCAGACTCCAGGCCCCATCTGGGACAGAGAGAAGCAAGAAAGTGGGCTGAGGGATGCTCAGCTGTGCCCACATGGGACGCCGTTCTAAGATTCTGACTTGAGCAGCAGAAGAGCCGGGATGCTCCTCCCTCAGGGATGAAGGCTTAGACTGCCAGTTCGCCCTGGGTCACCCTTCACTCCTGGACGTGCCTGGGAGAGGCTGGGTGATGAGGTGGGTGTCTGGGGCCCGATAGGCAGGAGTCAGATGCAGTCACTGTTCTGCTGAAGGCAGATCCCCACTTCTCCTCTGACATCTCTGATCACGTACCAGTTTCTCTGAGCCCTCCCAGCGGGGGCAAGTGCTCACCAGCCCCCTGCTCCTTGGCTGTGTGTCATCTCAATGATGCCGGGAAATTCTGCATGCGAGGAGCAGAGGAGCAGTGCCGAGAGCCATGGCCCTGGCAGTTTTAGCGAGGCAACCAGTGTCACCCTGAACAGTAATCTCTCCTCTGCTCCGACAGCAGAGGCTGGGTGGCCGCCGGTATGGGAGATCTCGCCGTCCCGAATAATCGTTCTAATCCCAGTGTCGCCAGCAGCCCCAAAGATTCCTTCACAGCCTGTCGCCCTGATCTGGGTGGAAGGCCAGTGGCCAGCAGCTGGAAGGGGGCAGGTGGGGATGCTGCTTCTGCTGGAATCTGCAGTTAGAAATGGAGACGTCCCTGTTTGGGGAAGGCCAAGATGGCCCTCTGGCATAGCCCACTGCTGGCCCTGTTCAGAAGGGTTTCTGAAAGGCTGTGGGAAAGGGCCAGGAAGAATGGAAAAGTCATCTGGAGGGGAGGGCTCACTGCCCCCTTAAATTTTCTGGGGTCGTGTTGGAGTCCCAAGCAGCCAGGTTTGTGAAAACCGAATCAGATTTGTCTAAAGGGTGACCAGCTCCCCTTCAGGTCAGATGCATAAAAAACCAGGGCCAGCATTAGTGGGGCCATAAGTGAAAGCACCTCGTCTACCCCGAGCAGAAAGTCTCCATGACGAGCCATCTGGATCCTCTAGCCATGGCTGGGAGGGCACTTGGGTCACTCCAAGTGACCACCCTGAAGTCACAGCTGCTCTCTGCTGTGGCAACGGATGTCCTTTCAAAACCGCCCAATTAACCCTTGGCACTGAGGCTCTCGTTTTTTGGAGATGTGCCGCCCTAGTCACGCCATGTTCAGACCCCAGGGCAAGGCCAGCTCCTGGTCAGGTGGGCAGACTCCCTCTCCCTTGCCAAGTGCCAGAATGTTTCTCTGTAGCCTTCCTGCAGGGTAGGTTCATGGTTCACATGTGGTCAGCCCCCCTCAGAGGGGCCGAAGCCATGGGTGTGTGGAAGGAGAGGGGATGCTGCCCCTGTAGCCCCATCTGAATATAGACGTTTGGTCAGGAGCAAGCACCTGGGCCACAGGTGCTGTTCCAGGGCAGACTGCCATACGTGGCCTGAGGAAACCTCAGAATGCTGCCTCCCCACAGGCCGTCTGCAAACCCAGGGACTCTGTCTGGGCTCCAAAGCCCTCGTAGGTTTTTCTGAAGAAGGCAGGCCTTGCTCTGGGCACCATACTGGTCACAGGGGTGAACAGAGGGTGGAGGCATTCCCTGGGCTACCCTGGGTTCCTCCCTGCCCTAAGCTAGGGCTCTCTGGCCCACTCTCTGGGACATGAGGTCCAGTGAAGATACCTTAGGCATCCCAATACTAGAGCCAGGGACCCCTCAACCAGTAAACCAGAGCAGAGTGGCCTTCACAACCAGGGTCCTCAAAGGGAGCCAGGGCAGGGCAGCAAGTCTGGCACAATTACTTGACGGCACTTCATTAGCAGGAGGCACTGGGCCGTCATTTGCGTCGGTAACAGTGAGCAGGAGTGACAAGAAGCACTTGAATCCCATTATAGATTAATCAGCAGATGGGGCCGGCGGATGCCTTGCTTGGCCACCACCTCACGGAGCCACTCCATGGCTCCGCACACCTCGCTGAAGGCTCTCCCGTTGGTTCTGAGTGGCATGGTGTAGAGTCCGGGTGCCCACCCCCCACAGGTGGAGGAGGCCCAGTGCTTCCTCAGTGGAGGAGGACTGGCTGGGGCCACCAGTCTGCTCCCACTGCCCTTGCTGCTGGCCTCCCTTCAAGGTGGAGCTCACACCATCAGTCTCCACAGAGGGTGACACAGCTCAGCTGGCTACACCTCACCACAGCCCTGCAGGCCAGGGCCACTTTCCACCTCACAGAGGAAAGTTAGCCAGACAGGCGAGCGTGGCACAGGTCCAGGCACAGGGTCCCTGGCCCAGGGATACCTGGGCTTCTGGTTTCTAAGAACCCTCCGCAGAGGGCTGCGAGGAGCACAGCACAGCCTGAGCTCTCACATCCTCCCCCCCTCACCCCACCCCCACCCCCCATTCAGGGCCTCAGGCAGGCAGTTTCCTAAAAGCAGGCCTCCCTCAGGGCGTGGGAACTGCCTTTCAGGTGAAGAGGACAGAGAACCTGGCTGGAGAACCTGCCTGCCCAGGCCCATGGCCTGGGGCAAGCCCGTCTGCACCCTCTCCCTGCTGTCATCCTTGGGAGCTGGGGCCTGAGTGGGGAGGGGGACATCCCCTCAGTATTCAGCTGCCCCCTCCCATCTCTGAACCCTTGTCCCCATTTGTTTATATACAGTCCCACGTCCAAGCAGTTCCAGGGCAAAGTGCTGCTGGGCAGTCCTGCAGTGAGGCCCAGAGAGAGCCCCTGCCTCAATTTGGTGGTCCCCTTTCCGTAGAGTGCTGGACGTTGAGGCTGAAACTGCTGTACTGTCCCCTCCCCTTGCAGATGGCAGCTCTCCAGAGCCCCTTCTATGGAGACAAAATGAATCTCTTCTCCCTCTGCCAGAAGATTGAGCAGTGTGACTACCCGCCACTCCCGGGGGAGCACTACTCTGAGAAGGTGAGGTGGCCAGGCTCAGTGGGTCTCCAGAAGGCCATATAGCTCAGGGGAGGGACACTTCCAAAACTCAGCGCAGGGCTGAGCTCAGGGGCACCTCACAGGGTGAGGGGAAGACCTTGGGGAGGTGCCTGCGGGGGCTGGGGCCAGGTGAACTTTACTGAAGGGGTTTCCAGAGTGCCACACACCCCTGCCCGCAGCAGCAGGAGCCCTCGGGAGCTGGCTGGTACAGCCGCCACAACACTATTTGGCTTCCCACTTGGGGTCTGAATGTGAGGCCACCTGTCCCAGATCCCAAGGCCAGGATCCACATGGTACCAGACACTGGGAACCAGATAGGAGGCAGGAGGTAGCAGGGTGGCGCCAGCATTCACCCATCCTTGGTGGTCACTAGCTTCTGTGACAAGAAACCACAGCAGGTGGACTGACTGGTCTCCTGCTTATTACAGCAGACCTAAGTCACGCCTCGGGTTTTCATTTTCACATTTTTCATTGGGTACAGGGGCTCAGGCCACACCAGTACTGGCTGTGTGAATATCACCTTCCTCAGTCATCATTTTGTAGATAGGGCTAAAATCATGTCATTCATGGGTAAACTAAGGAGGACGGCTTCCCAGCACAGCAGGGGTTAAGTGTGTAGACGTGGGTTCTCAGGCCCCCTTTACTGTCCTTGGGTATATCACTTACCTTCCTGGCGTTTCAGTTTCCTATCTGTAAAATGGGGATAAGACTAGGGTCTTTGATCAAGATCACTGTAAGGATTAAGGTCATGCATGTCTGGGCACCTGGTGTTCCTCCACCACCAACAGCAGCCGCTCGGGGCCGGGTGTAGCTCAGTGGGACAACGCACGCCTGGCATGCACAAAGTCCCTGGGTTCCATCCCAGCACTAAACAGAACATGGTCACTGGATACAGCACTGGGTCTGACTCAGTAAAAGCTCAGTACCTGGCATCAGTCATTGCTGTTCAAGGTCAATGCTGGTAGGTGTGAGGCCTTCTCAGGCCCAGAGGCCACTGCCTCATGTTGACTTACTGGGTTGAATCTTCCCTCACCCACCTTACCAATACCCATATGGGATAAAGAACTCATCATAGATGACATAGTTTGTAAGTTGTGAGGCAGGATCAGAACCCAGATGACCCCACACCTAGCTAGAGTGCCATCATGTTTCTCAACGGCAAGTCCTCAGCAGCCAGAGTCCAGTAGGTGAGGCCTTGGAAGGCACACTCATGTATGCCAGGGCCAGGGTCTGGGGCAGGCTAGTGGTGCTCCAAGCAAGTTGCCCCAGATCCCAGGCCTGGTTGCTCCTGCCGGCTTGCACCAGGCAGGGGGTGGGGGCTGTGCAGCGCCTTCTGCTGGCAGCGTTCACAAGCTCCTTGGAGAGAACCTTCATGCTCTGGTGTGCACGCTGGCAGGGAAGAAAGCTAGTGGCATTTCCTTACCAAGCTTACAGGCTCACTGGCTTTTCCCTTTCTTTTTAAACTTGGACTTCTGTACCATTCAGAAGCAAATAGCAGAGCCGGGCACAACTCAGCGCCAATCCCTATTTTTCTGCCTTTCATTGCCAATCCAACAGGCACCGTCGTCTCCAACCCAGCTGCAAGGCTGACATGACCACCTGGATCACACTTGCCCACGTTGGCCATTCTGTCCCCATCCACTGGACCCCCTTCAGAGGTTGCCTGTGACATCTTTGGCCACACGCACATCCAGGACTACTGCTTAGCACCAGAGCCCTTGGCATAGCCTGTTTTTAAAGTTACACTGCCTCTTACAAATGAAAATGACTTGATTACTTTTCTCTGTTTCTAAAAATCCCAAATGTGCACTTACTGCCAACTGTGTGGTCACACAGACTTCAGACTCTGGCTTTGGCTTTTGGGGGATTTAACCCATCCGAGGCTAGCGCAGTTCCCTTCCCAAGTACTGTGAGGGGAAAGTAGTCTTGTGCACAGGCCACCTCAGAACCCCAGGGTTGTTCATCTGTTCGGGAGCTTGGCAGTGTTTCTTCAACAGTGGAATCCCCCTGCGGAGGTCAAAGGCATGCCCTAATGGTCTACACACAGGTCAGTTAGGACATGCCCACTGCAGAGCAGCCCCCATCTGCAAAAGCCCAGACCCCCTTAGCCAAGATAGTGTGTTGCAGCCCCTGGGTCTCCTGGAACATTCCTCTGGCCCTCCCCAGAGTGTGGCCACTGAACCCACTTGGGCTCCCTCTTATCCAGGACCCCCACTCTCCTGGCTGCTGCTAAGGACCCCGCAGGGCAGGCAGCCAGCCCCTCCAGCAGCACATATTTAAATGGAAAACATAGCAGTGAGCCCAGCCATGCAAGTTAAGAGATGCAAGTTAAGACGCAGGCTTTTTAAGGTCATTATTTTAATTACCATTAAAATAATTGGCACTCAGGCTATCAAAATGTGAGGTGATCAGAGGCTTAAGGCACCCCTCCCCCACCCCAGGCGGGCAAAGCCTTCAGTGTCTGTATAATTAAAAGCGCCGTCTTTCATGAGCACAATGAAGAGGCCAGGGGGTGGGCAGACTGCAGCCCTGCTGCATGTTAATGCATTTATTATGATCAATAAGCCCTTTCCTTGAGTTTCGTCCTCTGGTTTGGGCCTCTGCATGACTGACAGCAGACACACATGCGCGCACACGCAAACAGATTTGCCCAAAGGTGTGCACAGGACACAGAAGTGCCCAATAAGGCTGCTTTCTCAAGATTAACAGGAAAAATTCTCTCCCTTGCAGCTTCGAGAACTGGTCAGCATGTGTATCTATCCTGACCCTGACCAGAGACCAGACATCGGGTATGTGCACCAGGCTGCCAAACAGATGCACATCTGGATGTCCAGCACCTGAACACGCGTGCACCGTGCCTTGTCAAAAGCCAACACCACTCTGCCTTACTTGAGTACTCTTCTCTGAAGTGACCACCTGGTAGCCTGAATCAGCTGACACGAGAGGGTCCATCAGGTCCCCCAAAGGCAGCCTTTAAGGCAGACACTGAACGCAGAGCACCGGGCAATGGGCAAATTCCAAAGTCCCTTCTTTGTACTGTTGCGGGCAATCTCGGCTGGGTTAACAAGAGCTATAGAGTGAGCCACTGAAGCCCCCTCGTATCTGGACCGTAATGTGAATCTTTGGGCAATTCCTCCAGGGGCCTGGCCAAGTCTCCACGGACAGGACAGGTGTGATTTGTGTGGTGAGCCTTCGCAAAGACTAGCAAGTGAAGTTTAGTTCTTAAGTATCTTTCCAAACAATCAAGCTGTGTGCTTAATTTACTCTGTTGTATAAAGGGATAAGTGAAAATAATTTTGTAAGTAGAGTAGAGATTTTGCTAATATTTTTATCTGCATTTTGTAACTTGAGTAACAGGGAGGAAAACCCAACATCTAGCATCGAGTTTCACGAGGCAAACGGCCTGGAGCGTGTGGTTTGAGGTCTGATTTGCCACCTTCTCCTGAACACCTGCCCTGTGTCAGGCACTGTCACCTCCTGTGATGCTGATGGTTCTTTGCATGATCAGTGTTAAGCATTTTCCTCTGTGAGAAGGAAGCATGGACTACATGAACAATCTAATGGCTCTGCCCAAAGCTGTTCTTTCCAATTTCTGGTTCTGCAACTTCCTAGTGTTACCTGGGCAAGTTTCATAGCTTTTTCTGAGCCTTAAGTTCCTCATCTGTAAAATGGAAGGATAATTTAATCTACCTTCAGGTTTGCTGACAGAATTTGAAATAAAAGAGGCAAGTTAGCATACTGCAGATGATCCAATAGCGAGAGCCATTCACCATTTTGAAAACTCAAGTGCATAGACTATGCAAGTTGAGAATTAAAGTGCAACTGTATTATGTGTAGGAAACCAGAAGCGTGTTCACATATTTCTTGTTCCCAAACAGGATTAACTGTGAAGACTAATTTATAAATGTGAATTTAAGGAAACTGAAGCTCTGGAGGAAATACTTTGAATTTTGTTTTTGTACTCAAGTTAACTCTCTGTCTACGCTGTTGTCACCTGGTGACAGCTCAGCAGTGCTGATGTTTGGGCCAGGTTCTTCCTCACCTTCACCTGGCTCCCTGGGTTAACTTGCTGACCAGGCTTCCCCAGGGAAAGGACCTGGGCTGGCCACTGCTCCATCTCTGAGCAGAGCTCTGTGTGACAATGCTGGGCTCGAGACTGTCTCCAGATGCGGCCTCTGCTCTGTTCTCCATGTTGGGAATAAAATGAGGGAAGGGAGTTGCTTCTGGGAAGAGGAGGAGTCAGGCACAGTTTTAAGTTTCCACACATTTCTTCTTGAACTGAGAGGTCCTAAATGAAACACGTCAGCAGCACGACATTTTGCAGAGCCTTTAGAAACAACTTGTTAAGCTCCAGACATTCCAAGTAATCCTGGAATTTTTTTAAGCTCCCCCAAATAATTCTGATAATCATCAGCCAAGCTGCTGCCCTCAATAGTCCCATTGTTCTCCCTGGCCCACTCCCCGCAGTTTCACAAGGCAGCTGGCCTCACAGTGGGCTCACCCTGGAATGTTCTCTCCAAAGGAAAGTCAAGTCCCTGTCTCCTGCCTAGCACTGACCACTGAAAGTTTTCTGATTCCACACAGATTATTTGCAAATATTCTGTTTATGGCTCTCAGAGTCCCTGCTGTGTCTGCCCTTGGCATAGCAGCCTTGGCACACCAATGAGCTTGTGTTCTGCATGCCATCCACTTCCTACTCCGTGAGAACCCTCCACCACTCAGCAGTCTGAAGGTTTGTGAAGTGATCACATCCAGCTAAGCCTGTAAACATTCCTCTGTGACTCCATGAAATTGGTCAGATGTGCAGCTCACCCAGTTTGATGAAGCTATGGTAAAGCCACCATCCCCTGCCTGCCGTTACTCGGTGCTTAAAACTGAGTGGGGCCTGAGAACTCAAACTTGGAGACGCCCCCCCACCCCCATCCCTGCCCCGGAGCTGGGGATGGAACCTGGGGCCTTGCACATGCCAGGCAGGTGCCATGCCCCGGAGCCACGCCACAACCCACTCTCATCATCCCAACACTGCTTTCCTACTCAGTTACTAGGCAGTGGCTGCCCTGCACTCATCACCCTGTTAGGACAACCAAATACCCTGGGGCTGCCCTGAGCAAAGAGAAAGTTAACACAAGGGGTAAGTTAGCAATGTTCACGTGAAGAATCCAAGTAACCAAGTCTGGCTTCCAGCCAGAGGAGGCCTGCTATTTTCAGAAGGCCCTCACCGTTGACACTCACCTGAACCCAGATTGGTACTCGAGGGATCAAGAGCCTGAAAGGTTGATAGGCCCCATGACCACAGAGTCCCCAGGTCTCAGCTACCCATTGTGGTTTTCATTTTTTTTTTTATTGCACTTCATTTAGCAAACAGGAACCAAATGAAGGTGTCACAGGGGTGTTTCCAGTGCCCCCGATTTCCAGAGTGATACCCAGCCACCCACTAGCACCATTCAGGAAGTGTCCATTGTTTGGACAGTTTCCTCCAGTAGCTCAATCTCCAGGGTAGTGACTTTCTCAGTGAGGACCGCAGTGGTCCCTTTCTCACACCTGTACCGGCCAAACCTAGTGAGAAAAAACAAAAACACAAAGTTGGGATTCTCCTCCAGGTGCCAGACAGAAGGCTGAAGAGAGCAGAAAGTGGCTGCCCTGAGTCCTGCCCTCAGCTTTCTAGTGCTCCAGAATGGGAGAGCCTGGTAGACCCATTAGGTCAAAAAAGAGCACCCAGGACACTGGGGGTGCATACCTCCCCTTCCCCATCACCTTATCCCCCCATACATACATACAAGAAAACATTTGATTATGTGACCGCAGGCTCCAACCTCCCCCAAATTACCTGTCAGTAACCCTCAGAAGTGAAGCCTCTCATCAAGCCAAGATGGCCCTTCTCTTGCCAGCAACAAGAGCAACTTACTTAACTATCACTTGCTTGCTACTCTTTAAAACTATCCTGAAACCGCAATGGCACAAAAATAGTCCTCAGCCAGACTTGGAGCTCATCATTTTAGAACCCACACTCAAGACTCAGGCAAAGTTAACTGGCCTCTGCAGGTACATGGGAGGTCACCACTAGGAGGCACCCACCAATACTGCCATCCTGGCAGTGCACCCACAGGGGCCTCTCTGAGCATAGGGCAGCCTGTAAGCCATATGTTAACTGTGGACTTCCACACTGAGGCTGGCAGTTAGGACAGTGTCAAACAGCAGCACCAACCCAACTGGTCCTCTGGGATGTTCCTAGCTGGGGCAGTACTGCTGGCATGCACTACTGGAAGGCTGCTGGCTGGGCCATTACCATGTGCTCCTGGAACAGTCTGCCTCTCAAACAGGTACTTGGGCTCAAGGGAGAAGAATAAAAAGTGGACATCTGACAGTTGTGTATTAAATTCAGGAGATGGAGCAGAAAGAAAGGCTTCCCTTTATTTCTGCAAAACCTTCCTGTCCCCACCGTGTTCTTTATCAAGGGTGTGAGTAACTGTACCTCTTCATAATGTGTTCCTCCCTCTTTAGGTTTGAAGATGTCATTCAACTCCCACCAAGCTGGCCCTTGGCAGCCTCGTGCTTTGCAGCCAGAGTCCCAGTAGCCCTTATGTGCCTGACTCATGTGTACCACACCCCAATGTCTTTGGGAAACCCAAAAGCTTCTTCCCCTGCACCCAAGCCCAGGTGCCTGCTTTGGCAGTATGCAAAGAGGGCCTCTGCCTTGGACAACAGTAGATTGCACCACAGGGCACCAGGAATCTTTGAGGCCAGGTCTACACTGGCATTGGACACAGGACCCTGTCCAGGACTCTAGCTCTGCCCTGACCTGCTGTCCACTATGGGAATCCCCTCACCTGGGTAGTGCCCCACCGTCAATGACCAGACAAGAAGATGAGAGTGAGGTTGTGGATATTGTGAATGCAGTGCTCTCTGCCCCAGGGCACTGGCAGGGAGCAGCCTGTTGAGGGCAGGGGCACACCTATCCTGTGCCCAATACTGGCATATTACCTGGCTAGTCTTCCAGCCAGCACTCCTAGCCACTTTGATTTTGCTCCCTGTGTTCAGTCTCCTTTACAGGTAAACAGGCCTCTGCTGTGCTCCCTTATGCACAAAGATTCTTGTGCTAAGCACAGATTCCTTTGGCAACCAAGAATACTACTTTTCTCCTCTTCTTCTCTTTTTTCTTTGGCGGTGCTGGGGATGGAATCAGGGCCTCCCGCATGATAGGCAAATGCTCCACAACCGAGCTACACCCCCAGCTCACAAATACTGTGGCTCAAATGTGGCTGTCAGAATCCTCTCCCAGGACACTCTCCAGTCTAGAATGGATGGAGCCCCTCTCTGCCCATCCCCCACCTCCTCCCCATGAACCAGCTCCAGCCACACTATCAATTCTCATCTTTAGGGAGCTGGGTGAAGCCTGCTCCCAGCACAACTGTGTACCTGAAGGGTGGCCTCCCTTCCTGCTCAAGGCCCAGGGAACTTCGTGGGCTCCTTGTGATCCCCTGTCTAGCTCCACCACTTCAAATGGAGGTCGAATGATGCCCAAAGCCACCACAGCAAGTCGGCCACAGCATTCCCCAGCACCTGCAGAGGGCTCTCTGCAGCTGGGCGTCTACCCCAATTCACACTGAACTCTGAGTTGAGTGCACACTGCTGGCTCTGAAGGCTGTTCTTTCCTTGTGAGTGAATCTTGGAGGTGAATATCCACAGCGGAGTTGAACACAAGCATTCCAGAGGTGGCAGAGGTCACAGGTGCAGCTGTGCCTCACTCGGGAATGAGCCCAAGAGCCACATTCTGGCTTCCCAGCTCCAGGAAGAGATCAGAAGCCACAGGGTGGTCAAGCAGCTGGACCCACAAGGAAGGGCCAATAAGCTGCTCATCTGCACACACAACAGCCAGTTCTGTTCAGCAAATCTACTAGAACCTCACTCACTACTCTGAGCCTGGCCCACACCACCAAGATGAGGCACCTGCATGGCATGTGCCACCAACTCAGTGGCACGACTCCCCTCTGGTGTAGTAAACACCATTAACTCCCACGGCCAACATTCAGAGGCTCCCAGCTACTGGTTTAGAGGCTTTTAGGCATCTTGGAGCAGTCTAAGTAAAAAGCTGTGAGCCGAGCACCCTGGAAAACACACCTCACAGAACTCCGTGCAGAGTTCAGGGGATTCTTTAAGACACTCAAGAAAGGACAAAGATGACTGAAACCTCTCCATCCCAACTTGCAGCCAAGGGCTCTCTCCTGAGCCCATTCCACCTCTCGCACCAAAACTTTATGGATTTAGTCACTGTCCCACATCTGGCAGTAGCTTACTGTCATAAAGCAGACTCACAGACCCGTGGAAGGCTGGTTGGAACAGCTTTTCTCAACATGGGAAAGAAACCTGGTCCAGATACCATGGAAATAATAAGAGGTCCATGAGGCCAGAGGCACAGGAAGAATATCTTCTCTTTCACTCACCTGGTCCCCTTCTTGTTGGGCACTGAATAGGGGCGAAGAAAGTCCAGCTTGCTCTTGCTGATGACACACAGATCGATGTTGCTTCCAGACCCCAAGTCATTGAAGATGCCAGCTGCAATGGCCTCGCTCACCAGCTTCTTGGCCTCCTCCTCCTGAAAAAGGGAGGAAGCCATGTGTACCGTCCCCAGACAAGCTGCACACCTGTTCTGAAGCCCACAAGGTACTTTCACAAGCTGTGTGCAGAATCTTCTGAGAGCTGTACAGTGTTTTGTATTTTTTTAAGTTGTAGATGGACACAATACCTTTATTTTATTTACTGATTGTTATGTGGTACTGAAGAATGAACCCAGTGTCTCACACATGCTAGACAAGCGCTCTACCACTGAGCCACAACCCCAGCCCCGTGCAGTGTTTTTTCAACAAGGTTTTATAGAAACGATCTCATATCTCAGTAACTTGCCCAAGGCCTCCCAGCAGATAAGTGGGAACCTGAGATAT